CCAAAAAGAATTGGATGACAGTCATCCATTTCAGGATACAGCGTATGATCAAAAATGGATGGCACTGAAGGAAGAAATCCAGCTGCGGTGAAGGCATTGGTGAAAAACAAGCACCAGGAATGGAGAATACCAATTGAGCTGTTGCAACAAACATATACAATGCTATAAGAACTTACTTGTCTATACCAAGAAAATTGGAAGGCTGCTACCTGTCCAGCTGATTGAAAGAGATCCATACTCGTGCCCATTCTAAAGAAAGGTGATCTAACAGAATGCAGAAATTACTGAATAATATCATTAATATTACATGCAAATAAAATATTGCTGAAGATAATTAAAAAATGGTTGCAGCAGTACATCAGCAGGGAACTGCCAGAAATTCAAGCTGGATTAAAAAGAGAATGTAGAATGAGGGATATCATTGTTGCTGTCAGGTGGATCTTGGGTGAAAGTAGAGAATACTAGAAAGATGCTTACATGTGTTTGACTATGCAAATGCAGTTGATGTGTGGATCACAATAAATTATGGATAACATTATGAAGAATGGGAATTCCAGAACATTTAATTGTGTTCATGCAGTATCTGTACACAGACCAAGTTGCAGTTGTTTGAACAGAACCAGGGGTTTTAAAACCAGGGCGATTTAAAATCAGGAAAGGTGTGTGTCAGTATTGTATCCTTCCACCATACTTATTCAGTCTGTTAGTAAGCACATAATCTGAGAAGCTGGACTGTATGGAGAAGAACAGGGCATCAGGATTGGAGGATGACTCGTTAACAACCTGTGTTACACAGATGACACAGCTTTGCTTGCTGAAAGCAAGGAGGACTTGGAGCACTTACTGATGAATATCAAAGATGACAGCCTTCAGTATGGATTACAGCTCAACATAAAGAAAAGAAAAATCCTCACAACTGGACCAGTCAGCAACATCATGATAAATGGAGAACAGTTTGAAGTTGTCAAAGACTGAATTTTATTTGGACCCACAGTCAACACCCATGGAAGCAACAGTCAAAAAATCAAATGTATTACTGCATAGGGCAAATCTGCTGCAAG